ATGGCTTCTAACATGGATGACAGTGAAAGCCCAAACTCCTATGACAGGGTCCCCACGTGGAGTAAGCCTCTGGAGAATCCCCTCTATTTACGAGGAGCGATGTCCATAACCTTGCTTTCAAAGTTCATTGGAAAGTGGATTAAGGCTGATATAATTAGGTTCAGATTTAACACCTTATCACTTATTCTCCCTGTTGACCCATTTAAAATTTGTTCTAGCCTTTGTTTCCCCCCAGTTTTATTCACCTATAATTCACATATACAACTCCATGGTCAAATCACATCGAGAAGAGTTGTACAATCATCACAATCCGTTTGAGAACATTTTCTTCATTCTTGCATTCATCATTATTAGCTCCAACCTTGTCTGGGTTTTTCGTTTTGTTCTTTTTTTCAAAATGATTTCTTTTGGATTGAGATCTTTCAGAAGATGATTTTGTATTTGGTGTTGGGGGTGGGGGGGTGTATGTTTTTCTTTGTATGAAGCCCAGGATAGGAAAATCTATAAAGACAGTAACTGAACTCATAGTTTCTTAGGGTTATGGCAGGGGAGGTTGGGAGAAAATGGGAAATTAATAGTAATGAGTACAAGAATGAGGAAAAGTCCTGAAACTGATTATGTTGATGACTGTACAGATATAAAAAATAAAACATATGAACTATATAATTATATGTATTAATAATACATACTTTTGTATTTTTAAATATAATAATAATATGTCTTAATTCCCAATTGGTAATTTTTCAAATAAAAATAAAAATCTTAAATATTGATAGTCAAAAATTAAAAAGATAAATTTATACTTATATATATATAAGTATATATATAAATTACTTTAGAAAATCTTTAATGAATTCCTGAGGGGATCATTAAGATATTCTATTCTTTGTGGACAGAGTATCTTCAAAATGAAAAAAAAATCAACATTTCAAAGATCAAAGTTTTGTTCCAAATTTATGTACAAATTCAATGTAACCCACCTTAAAAATCTCCCAATAAGATTGTTTTTTAAACTGTCAAACAAAATATTCCTGAAATGTATTACTTCTGAGAGGCTCATCTCTGAGACAAAATGGCATCACAGTGCCACAATGAAATGTGACAGAGGAATGAGGGAAGTCAAAAAGTATGGTCACTGAGATTCCAGCTCATACCTGTACAGGCAACATGTTTAGAACTACCTGCAATCAGTAGACAACTGCAAACAAGTTGTCTTGGTAATACATTCGCGAAGTGAACATCTTTGGCCCAGTGTTTGGCTTTCAATTAAATTTGAAGCTAATGGAGAAATTGTTATGGAGCAAAGAACTAGGGCCCAGTTTTGACCCTAACTTTGAATTTACTTGGCTGGAAAAAGACAAGTCCAAGGAAAAGAGTGGCTCTGAGGGGGTTGCAGGGCCAGCACCAGGCAGAGAGGTCAGTGGAGGTGCTGGTGACTTGGGGGTACTTGATAGCTTCCTTTTGAATGACATAGGATGACTACAGGGGCTTATTAGGAGGAATTGTTAAGAATATTGACATCTGGACTGGTGAGAAAAACGACCACAAATGTTATACAGAGGAATTATTATTTTGCCCCCATCACAACACACATACTCATTATTCAAGGGTAGCAAGGGCTGTCCTGTGGGAATTTCATTGGGAAACCTTACACCCTGCACCTTACATCCCCAATCTTGCCCCTGTAGATTTCTTTTTGTTCCCTAAAATACAAGGAACACAGTTTGAATATCTTGAGGATCCCAATCCTGGTGATTCAACATGGTATGAATGGGATCACCGAGTTCTTTGGGAGAAGGGTTCCACCCCCCAAAGCCAAACTCATAGCCACGGAGTTGATGCTGACACACAGGGACCCTATGGGACCGAATAAAACTGCTTCCAAGACTGTACATCTCTATGGGAGTTCCGAGTCTCATCGTTCTTCCAGAGCAGCTACTGGTTTTGAATAGCTGGTCTTTCGTTAGCAGCCCTTCATATACCCCACTAAGACACCAGGGCTCCTTAGGGAAGAGACAGAGATGAAAAGACAACTTGCAGAAGGTGGAGAGTCCTATGTGGAGGAGATGTGGAGAAAAAATAGCTTCCTATTTTTTTTTATTCAATGGATTTTCGATTTTGTAACAATACTGTTTTACTTATGCTTCCTTGTAAATTACCTGCAGTGAGACCAAGAGAAGAACTTTCCTGAGATCTGCGCCTAGCCTCCTAAGCCATTGGCCTTAGTAAATATGAATGTTTGATAAAACAAACTATCTTTAAAAAGGTATAATGTTACCAGGGAATGTTTTGTACCTTTGAAACCATTTGTGTGGGAACAGCTGTACTAAAGCCGAAAGGAGACGGTAACGGTACAGAACAATCAGATTACTGGGAGAGAATGTTAAAACTTTGTGAAAAAACAACAAAACCACAGTCTGAACAACGTGTGTGCTTGTTGTCATATGGGAACCGCATGGACTGTGTAAACTTTCGCCAGAAATACAATACTATCCAAAAAAAAAAAAAAAAA